AGATGAAGTTTAAGATGAACTAAAAAAAGAACAAGACCGAATGAAAGACAGTAAAAATTTAAATGAATAGACAGTGCAGTTGAAGAATGAAAGGAAAGAAAGAAAAATGCCATATTAAAAAGAAAGAAAGGACAACACAAAAGTGGTTTTCTCTGGCTACCGGAAATTTGTATGGAAGAAATTTGTTCCAAAGGAAACCGGAAATTTGTACGGAAGAAATTTGTTCCAAGAGAAACCGAAAATTGTACGGAAGAAATTTTTTCTAAAGGAAACCGGAAATTTGTCCGGAAGAAATTTGTTCCAGGGAAAACGCAATTTTTTTTGCTTGGATTGAAGCTTCTTTTCCTTTCAAAATGAAAGAGGCAAAAAAAACCCCACAAGAATAACCCCGAACTCCCCCACCCCCCCCAATTAACAAAATAAGTAAATAAAATCCATTAGAACAAATTTCCTACCGAAAAAAACCTGCGTACAAACAATTTTCCTTAGAACACATTTCTTCCGTACAAATTTCTAGCTATGGATGTCCAGATACACATTGTTGTCTTCACAACTTTGGAGAGCATTTCTTAAAGTTTGTATCGTAAAAAAATGTAAACCTGCTTGAAATGACGTAGAAGGTTTGAGCCGCAACTCCAGCTGAAACTCTCGCTGTATTTTATTTAGTGAACGACGGTAACTCCTGGCACTCGCTGTGTCTCTAATGGCCGCCCCATTTCACGAGAAGAAAAAAAAAATCCATGAAGTTGGCCGAAAATGCCACCCCTTTCATGGAAAGAAGAATAAGATGCGCCGCTCGTAGCGAGCTCTCCCCCCACTCCAACCTTTCAGCATCCCTCCTCCTTCCTAAGCCATTGGGCACAAGTTAAACTTAGTTGTTCAAACCGAATGAATATAATAATTTTTTTTTTTTTTTTGTCATTTGCTTGACAAGTGACTTCCGGTTGTGTGACGGGGAGCAGCTGTTATTTTAGTTTTAAATTTAACTTCTTGGTGCAGTGTCTCTAGCCCATTTCACCTCCACAAAAGTTACCAAAAGAAAGTTTGAAGACTGACAACGAGGCCGGGCGAGACACGTTCATCATACACCATGTTCAACGCACAGTGTCCCGGCTTGCGATGCGTCATCTACGTCGGAACGCTCCATCACCGCTGGCATCAAAGCTCTCGAGTCGCAATTTAAGATTTCGGATGAAAGAATGGCCACCAAAGACTTGTGCCGTTGTGAAGCATCATTTCGTGGACTGCAGAAATACTGTGAGAAAATCGCCCGTATTGGGATATCGGAGGGGGGGGTGGTGTACAAGAAATATGATCTCTATGGGCTTCTTGTACCTGTGGGTCTTAGGCAACCATCAAGGCAGAGCAAATATTACATTAATCTTTGCCATCCACCCCGCAGGACAAAATATATTCATCTAAACCAGCAGTTCTCAACCTGAGGCGGTGGCACCTTTGGGGGTCGAACGAACCTTACACAAGAGTCGCCTAAGACGATCAGAAAACACATATTTGTGAAGAAGCAAAGAAAATAAGTCTATGGTTGGGGTCACCACGCCATGAGGAACTGCAATAATGGGTCGTAGCATTAGGAAGGTTGAGGACCACTGATCTAAACGATAAATTATTATTGATAGATCCATCTACCCATCCATTTGTTACCCGCCCATCTCTCTATTCCCCCCACCCAGTCCATCCGTTTTATTCTCCTCATTCATCACATACTAATAAAACCAGACGATATATATCCATCTTTACGCCATGGCAGCAAGTATCCACACATTCTCATATTACTCATTTGAAAATATTCTATTTTTTACACCTACATGGTTACGTTTGGACACCATTTACTCATACCTTGTTGCTGTTGCTCGTCAGTCGGGAGTCGACCATGACCACTTTAACCATCAGAGTTTGTGCTGGTTCTGTCTGTGGTTGCGCAGATGGCTCATGAGGCCGATTCTGGCACGACATTCTCTTGTGCAGTAGGTGCCGTGGAATGATGGCGCATCTCCGGGAGCAGAGCCAGGCCGGGCCTTCCTGGCATGTCTCTTGCGCTCAGCAGCCACCGTTCTGCCAACTTCATGTTGCATGGAGCTCCCGTGCAAAGTGGAGCGCCATGACGTTCGATCCTTCATACCTTACTAACTAACCAACATACCTAACTAACTGATACACATACCTAACTAACCCAGCCTCATACCTAACTAACTAACCGACATACCTTACTCACGCACTCACATACCTAACTAACTCATCCAAATACCTAACTAACTCAACAACATACTTAAATAAACCATCCACATACCTAACCAGCTTACTCACATACCTAAATAACCCACCCACATACATAATTAACCTACCCACATACCTAACTTTCCCACATAAGCAACAAACTCACCCACATACCTTGCTAACTCACCCACATGCCTGACTAACTCACCCACATACCTTACTAACTCACCCACACACCTAACCAACTTACCCATGTACGAGATAATAAAAGTTCATGACAGTAAAATGCTTTTAAAAAGAATTCTAACCACGATGAAAAGAATTTAAAAAAAACAAACATTTTTTTCACACACGAAAATTTAATCATTTCTTTTAAACCATAGATATTAGAACATCGGCTTTACGTTTTAGTTTTATTTACTTGTCCAATCGTCTTCCCCTTTCATTGCATTGTTGTTTCGGGTTGAAGATAAGAAATCTTCTTTTGTTAACTAAGAAGATCTCTACTTATTCACTAACATACATATCCTGGTTGCGGCTTAAGCTTAAGCTTCTTAAAGCCCCGGCTAGTACAACAGGGGCGTCATTTCTTTTTTTTTTTTTCAAGTGGTTTGGGGGGTGGGAGGTGAAACCAAAACTTGGTCGGCTTGTTAAGTTGTTTGTTACCGGAGGCGCCACAGTACATAGCACTTTAAATAAAACCTGCAAATTCAGGGGTTTGGGGGGGGGGAGGGGGAGAAATGTTCCACCCTGCCCGACCCAAATGACGTCCTGTTAAGTTGTTTGTTACCGGAGGCGCCACAGTACATAGCACTTTAAATAAAACCTGCAAATTCAGGGGTTTGGGGGGGGGGAGGGGTAGAAATGTTCCACCATGCCCTACCCAAATGACGTCCCTGTGGTCCATTGGCCACCAGCTCCAACTGCCGGGCCGTGCCATATAACGTCGACGCGGCGTAGGACTCTTTAACCACCCTGGCCTCCCCCGCAACACACAGGGCAGGGCGCGAAGTCAAAATATGCGCTACTGCCATCTACTGACCACGGTGTTCACTAAAGTGATCTCCATCGACTACAATGGTCGCCAAAGCGACCTCTACCTACTGCAAAAGGACGCCGCTGTGTTCTCTGTGGGGTTTTCAAACAAATGCGGCCCTCCACAGCCATTCTTCTACTTCCGTCGAAATAGAACAAACAGAAGACAGGTGGCCCGAGTGGATGAATGAAGGTGTCCTTTGCACACTCTGTTGACTGGCCACCACTCGAAGCTTCGTTGGAAAGTTATCCACAAAGTTGTATGTTTCTATACCTTTAAGAAACCAAGCCATTTTCTTTGATTTTTGATTTGTTCGAGAGCAGGGGTCTCCAAACTTTTATCACGATGGCCCAGATAACGGAAAAAAAAATGACGAGCGCGGGCCGGTTACCATTCTGTACAAGACTTGCAAGCCAGAACAAAAGCTCTGGGGGAAAAAAAAGGCGAAAAACAAAGTTTAGTGTTCCATGTGAATCATGGGTGAGTGGCATGCAATGTACAAAAAACAAAACAAAACAACCAACAAAAACAAAGACAACCAACACATTTATTTCTAGAAAAGTTAGCACAGAAGGCGACGTAAGAAAATGATAGTTACATCTGACTTAGTGCGCACATATTCGAATCTCACAAACTATGCGGCACAAAGGATTGGCGAGATTTGTGAAACTGACGTTTGGCTTTCAAGATTTCATGAATGTTGGGTTTGGAATTGCTGCTTCCAATCAAGAGAAATGTTTTCAAATGTTTATCAGTCACTCTCATTCAATGTGTTGACTTCACATACTTCATTTTTGAAAATGTTTGCTCACAGACATAAGTTGTTCCAAACACTGACGCCATACCAGCGGCAAAGCTCTTCAGTTTCATAAACTCAACATCAGGTTAGCAGCGGTGAAATCCAACGAGTTTTCTTTCACTGTGGTTAAACATACGTTTTATCAAGCAAATTCAAGTACAGTCGGTAGGCCGGGTGCAATGGCCTCGTGGGCCAGATCCGGCCCGCGGGCCGTATTTTGGAGACCTCTGTTTTATAGCATGGCTTCTCAACCTTCCTAATGCCCTGACCCCGTAATACAGTTCCCCATGTTGTGATGCCCCCCCCCCCCCCTTTTCACCATTAAATTATTTTCGTTGCTACTTCATAAATAAATGTTTTCCGATGGTCTATGGAAACCCTGTGTTAAGTTCGTTCGACCCACAAAGGGGTCGCGACCCACAGTTTGAGAGCCGGTTCGTAGAGGAATATTTTTATAATTCTAATCTGTCGAAGAACGGGTGTTAATGAGGAGGGTTTCGGTCCTGACTTGTCACGAACTGTTTCGATGTAACAGTTTTCAGCGCAGGACAGCACTTCTGTGATTTACATTTTAGGCAGCTAGGCACAGACAAAAGTAGAACGTGGATGGGTGAGGTCAAGCTTTTTAACAATTGTTTTTAAATGTAAAATTTTCTGTGATTGCTAATTTTTATGTGAAGCGCAGTGAGCCTAGCCCTAAGTTGGGGTACTGCACTATAATAAAACCAACTAATCTGTCTATAATAATAATAATAATAATGGCAATATAAATATAAAAAAAACAAACAAACACTGTATTTTAAGACTTAAAATTTATTTAACTCAAAATATAAAATTGTTTAAATCTTTCGGATAGAAACTATAATGTTAAAGTAATTTACACAAATTAATAATAATAAAAATAATTAAAAAAAAAAATCCTTTGAGAGTTTATTTCCCACTGTGGAAACATTCGCACTGGTGCCACTTGTTGACGAAATCTGAGGGGCAGGCGACAGATTCCCACGTGACTTCGGGGTTGTCCCAGCCCAGTCTGTTTGTAATCTGAGAATTGTGGTTCTGGAGGTCAAAGTGGATCTCGTATCCATGGGTGTTGGCTTGGTCTGTGGATAGGTCAAGGGGAAGTTATTAACGATAAGATATTGGGAAGCTTTCATTAAGTTGAAAGGGGAAGGAATTACTGATGAAAAAGGGAAGTTATCAATAGTTAGAAAAGGGGAAGGAATCACTGAAGAAAAAAGGGGTACATATCATTAGGTAGAAAAGGGGAGGGAATCACTAGTCAGAAAAGGGGAAATTATCATTATGCACAAATAGGGGAATAAATCCCTTTTAAAGAAGGGCGAAGTAATCATTAGGTAGAAAAGGGGAAGGAATGACTGATGAGAAAGGGGGGGGGGCGTTATCATTAGTTGGAAAAGGGGAAGGAATCACTGAGAACAAAGGTGGACGTTATCATTGGATATAAAAAGGGGAGGGAATGTCTGGGGAAAAAAGGGGGAAGTCATTAGGTAGAAAAGGGGAAGGAATCGCTTATAAGAAAGGGGGGAGTTATCCTTGGGTAGTAAAAGGGAAGGAATCACCGGGAAGAAAAAGAGGAATATAAGGAGACGAAGGGGAGATAATAACTGAAAATAAATGGTCACATTATCGTTAAGAAGAAAAAGGGAAAGGTATAACCGGGAAGAAATGGGGAAGTTATCATTGGGCTGATAAGGGGAAGGAAACACTGAAAAGAAAAGGGGGAGTTTATGGTAAAAATTACATGATAAATTGTTCCAGTAACTTTTCTGTTCTGTTTTACTTACACAAATTGTTTGTGTCTCATTAAACTTCTGTAAGGGTTGCGGTGTCTCGTCATTATTATTGTTTTAACATTCCAAAGCAAAGTATCACTATATTTCACAACTTTAAACCTCATTTCAAATCTCTAAAACAGTGATGATTTCTATCGCCCTTTTTGTTAGGATCATAAATCTCTTTTGGACGCTGAGTGTGTACTGTAAGCCCAAATGAAATATCGCGGTACAGATGTTTGTCTTGCCAGCAAAGTTTTGCCTTATACGTCAAACGAAATATGCCGTTCTCACAATTTCCTGATTGGGGAACCACTGAACAACGTATCTTTAAAGGTTGCAATGTGTGTCAATAATTTTTTTCCCCCTAAGTTCAAAGAAAGATATCTGTACATTATGTCTTCAACCTAATTTCCGCTGGTCTTCTTATATAGAATCATATTTTTAAAAAAATAACATTCATGGTAAAATCCACCTGATATTAAATTACATGCGCCAACCGTGAATGTTAGAGACACTTACTGGTTCCTGGTTTCCCAGCTTGACCACACCATTCACGGTTGTCGTTGATTGGACAATCGTTGGTCACCAGGAAGATGTGGGCGCTGGTGTCCCGGGGCGCCTGGCCTAGTCCGGGAACAAAGCCACCTGGGAAAAGGAGTGGGGGGGGGGAGACATCAATCACAATTATAAATGTGGAAAAGACATGCCAAATATTAATTATCTTATGACGACAGCTTCATGACAAGTTCTCGTCCATTAAATGACAATTTCATAATAAATTCTTGACAAGTTCACAAGTAGTTCATAAGAAGTCCACAACACGTTCATGACAGGTTCATAAATGTGGAAATTATAAATGTGGAAAGACATGCCAAATATTAATTATCTTATGACGACAGCTTCATGACAAGTTCTCGTCCATTAAATGGCAATTTCATAATAAATTCTTGACAAGTTCACAAGTAGTTCATAAGAAGTCCACAACACGTTCATGACAAGTTCATGGCAAGTTCAAACAAAGCTAATGGCTTCTTGTTAATAATTGTATGACTTTGAATGTATTCTTTCCTTAAGTATCAATAGAATGTTACACTTTATACACATGTCTAAATATTGTGGAGAGTTCGGACCGCGCCTGACGTAATCTGTCTGACCACCCAAGCTTGTGACCACGCACGAGCGCCGGACCACGACGGCGCCTGACGTAATCCGTCTGACCGAAGGATCAAGCTTGTGGAGCACGACGGACCCAAGGATCAAACGCCTGACCAATTACGGCCGTCTGACACCCAGACACGACCATCCATCTGACCAGGGCATTTACCTGGGACGTCTAGACCGACCGAGAAAAGGGGCGGGGCAAGTACAGACCCAGGGACCTATAAATAGGGACCTCTGGACGGGACGAGGGGAAGCGCGGCCGGATGGTTAGCAGGGAAGGCGGCCGGACTGAGAACTAGATAGCAGGGAGAGAGAGCAGGGAGAAGTCAGAGCAGGGAGAAGTCAGAGTTGGGAGATGAGTGATAGTGTAAGCAAGTGACAGATACAATAAAGAACACGAGTTTAATGATCCAATGTATCACCGGAGTTGTTTACTTATTGAGCACCAGATTTAGATGAAGTGTGTCAGATAGTAAGCAAGGTCCCTTACAATATCAACCATTTAAACGAAATAAAGTCACATGCATCTTTATTTGATCACCGTCTCAGAACTTAAGATCAAAGAATGCGAAAAGATGAACCATGTTCCCTTAAAATTAATGTGGGCATTTCCCACGGCCTTTGACAAACTAAATTTCGCTGATTTGAACGTTGCTGATTCTTTTTTTTTTTTTTTTTACCAATCGAGAGTCGTAGCTAAGGGGGGGGGGGCAGGGGGGACAGATGTCAGACTTGTAAGAGGCGCCAAAATGTGCTTTGATATTCTTTTATTGATTAAAATAATGGGTGTGAGAGTTTAAAAGAGAAATGGAGGCGCTTTAAAGTGAATCTTGTCCCCGGGTGCAAAACACTCTAGCAACGCCTCTGTCCCAATTATAATTTAAAAAACGCCAAAAATTCTGGGAGAAGTCAGTTTGTCAATAATTGTGTAGAGTTTCTTCACAGGTTTAGGATAATTGCAATCAGGCTGTTCATACATTTTCTTGAAATATATATTCGGCCTTGAACAAGTGACTTCGAACAGTTTTGTGAAATTTGGATCTAATGACCCACCTGATGGGGGTGAATCTGACCCACTGCAGCCCATCTGGTAAGAGATCAATGGTTGGGATGTGTCTGACCTTACGAACTATCGGTTTGGGGTGGGTCTGACCCGTTGTGGGGGGGGGTGTGGGGGTCTGACTAATTAGCCGACTGGTTGGGGTGTGTCTGTGCAATCGACCTACCAGTTGGGGTGAGTCTGACACACTGCCCACAGTTGGCGCCACACCACTGCTTGTCTCCGCCGTTATCGAAGAACTTCTGGTTTGGGGCGGTCACGAAGTCAGCGAGGTTCCAGGCGAAAGGTTGGTCTGTGGATGAATTAAACACCGTTTTTTGGCATGGAAAGGTCTTTAAAATCTGAGCTAGAAGGTCATAAGTACTTGAGTTGGAGGTTCTTAAGACCTGAGTTGGGAGGCCCTAAGTGTCTGCGGTTAGAGGTCCTACTCACCTGAGTTTGGGGGTCCACAGCCACAGGCTCCTCTGTGTCCATCGTCGTAGCGTGTAGTACTGGCGCAAGGTTTCCCGTTATATCTCAGGATGCCGTGGGTGTCATTGGCACACCTTGGCGCACCGTGCACCGCACCTGGTCGTATGGACATGTTAAATGGTTCACTTAGCCAATTCATAAACAGATTATTGATTAATACTATACTAAGTGTTACCCACCGTAGTGAAATGTCAACGCTATGATTTGAAAGTTTCACCTCATGGGCTACTAAAACAATAGAATTTTTTATTTAAAACAATAATGGAAAAATATATTTTTAGACTTAAAAAGAAAACACATGACAATTAAAACGGAAGTGTCTCCTTTATGCCTTCTTCAGCAGACAAGAAGAAAAAAAAGAAACAACAACAAATTAGAAATATCAAAAATGTACTTGCTTAAGATCTCAATGTAACTATTTTTTTTTCTAGAAACGAATACGCTCTCTCTAATTTAAGTCTATCATTAAATCAATGTCTTGTGGAGCCTGCGAGAAGTTCATTTTTTGATCAAATTCCAGCATTTGTTGTAACCCGCGACTATATGTTTGTTAACTTAATTCTTCAGTTTAACTAAAATAAACTCCCACAAATGACATTAGAATAGCACTGAGTCAAAATGAACCAAGACACGCAGCGCCGCCATTGGCACCCGGGTACCATTAGGCTCAATGCTACTCGTATGTCATTTGTGGTAGTTTATTTTAGTTAAACTGAAGAAGTAGGCTTATAAACATATATCCAATTCAATTATCTTTCATTTGATACCTCATTTTGTCTTACAAACCCAACAATACTATTTTTAATATTTTTTTTTAATCCCAACCTCTCACTTCTGGTACCCGGGTGCGAATAGTCGCAGCCTAAAAAAATGATATAAATATACCTTTAAAAAAAGGGGATTCGAGAATGAATTGAGTCCGAACACAATAAAACTTGGAACTTGTTTATTTTTTGCGAGGGCCACCGCTTAAATCGCCCAAAAATGTGAATTATGAGCAGTTAAGTTTGTATATTTGTAAAATTATTAGTATTGATAGTATCTAACACTGCAAAATTGATTATGAGATTTTGACATTTCAGAAATAACACAGTTCCTATATCATGTGCGTACAAGATCAACACTTGATATCAACTTCGATAAGTAGTAAAGAATGTTATGCGTGTTAAGGTATCCACACAGGAGACCGTGCTACAACATACAGTACTCATGTACGAAATTATTGGATACACGAACCTTCAACAATCAAGACGATTGTGCAGTATACAACATCAAACGCACAACACGATTGTGCCACAAATAACAGCCAAAAAAAGTGTGCTTACTGTGACACCAACATACAACATCCATATAGGAAAATCAATATCTTTGTACAGTATAACCACCTCATAAAACATATACAAACATTAACATACAACATCAACATACAACATCTTTGTACAACATACCAACAATAGAAGCTAGAAGTATGACGTAACAGTTCATTCCTACTCGTCACAAATGACTCCCAGGTTATAATGTGCAAAAGATCTTGTGGCTGATCTGCTTTGAAGCGCCCTTGCTTTTATAGCCCTGGTCCACCTTATCAGTTAGTCCTTAGAGGTCTGCCTTCAGTTTTTGTTACCGGATTGCCTGTTCTCAGAAGCGCTACATGGTATCAAAACAATTTTGTGTGTTTTAAATTTAAATTTTACTTAAATCATTAACTGGTGAACTAAAATAAATGTTTTTTTTTTTTTAAAATTGAAGACGATGCAATGGTTATCAGACTTTTCATAAGTTGAATGATGAAGCAATGCGACTCATGTCGTTCTTAATGACAGCAAAACTTTTCATTTAAATTGCTTGATGTTTTTTTCATTTTATTTTCTTGTCTTGCCATTTATATAGGAATGTAATGTTTAGACAAATCTGAAACTAATTCCTATGTCTATTACTATAGCTAATAATTATTATTAAGTGTTTTTTTTTTATATAGCGCAGTACCCCAGCCTAGGGCTTGGCTCACTGCGCTTCACATAAAAATTAGCAATTACATAAACGTATACATTTAAAAACAACAAATGTGGAAAAGCTTGACCTCACCCGCCCAAGTACTGTTTACCTCTGTCTAGCCACGAACAGCACCCAGCAGAATCGAGCTTTGTTTGTCAGGGATTCCGGTCGACAAGTCTGAGGTGTCTTGCCGATTTGGAAGCGTTGGCCACCGGACCCCCTCACGTCAACCCGGGGAACAAGACCACCACTGCGTTTTCCGCGTGAGCAGACAAAGACATGCAATGGTACCTTTCGGTATAAACAGCTCTTACAGGGCTGTCAGCTGTGACGCTTTCACAGCTCGATGTAACGGAAGAGACTGGGTAGGGATCATGATTACAAGTTGCCGTTAATGGATATGAGGATAAGGTGGAAGTCTCTTTCCGATGATTCTAATATGCAGTCCCGAGAAAGCTGCTCCAAAGCAACCGTTTCGTCCCAGCTACTTCGCGAATTAGCTGCGTGGTGGAAACCTACGGTAGGAAACCTTCCTAGAGGGAATTCCCTGGATGGGTGAGGGAAGATATAAGGACGTAAATTTACCATCCCGACTCCCTGAAAGATTTGGCTGCGAACGCTTTCAACGCAGCGTTTTCGGTTGATCGGACATCCCCGGGCGGGGAAAGCCTCCATTCACGAGTCCGATCGAGCGGCTGCGGGTGGGAGCGATCCTGGCCGGGGAAGTTCCCGGCGGTCTGTCGGCGGGGAAACCCGGCATCTGGCCCGTGGGGAGTGGTTCCAGGAGGGGTATTAAGAGCTCACGCTCTTTCCCATAATATGACATATTTATCGGTGAGAGGGCGGTGATAATGAGTCGGTGTAGCACAGCTTAAAGAGATGGGTAACCATAGCGAATTTTTGTAACTATACCTAAAGTATATAACTATACCGAATTTGTGCGACTATTTTTGACGAATATCTGTAACTATAGCAAATTTCTGTAACTATAGCAAATTTCTGAAATTATTGCGCACTTTTGTTCTAAATACTATGTCATACGCATTACTGGAGACGGATTAAGTTTTTGGAGGCCTGATGCAAACAAGACCAAAACAAAATGAATTTTTAAAAAAACTCTAACCACTGTAATTCAAATACACGTGATTATACATTTTTTTACAGATGTTAACAAACTGACATTGTGAAAAGATATAACCGTTGGAGTTAAATTTGATTGTTTGGCAAATTCAACTGTTTCAATATTTGCAATATAAGAACAATGTGTGCTAAACTTGAATTCATAGACAATCAATTTTAACGTTTCGGCTTAGAGCCTTTATCAGAAAACCAGACAAAATGAAGCATGACACGTAGATACCATCAAAGAGGGTTTCACATGCGTTAGTCGGAATGTGATATCTGTGATTGTGTGCCGTAGATGTCATTCTAGTTATATAGCAGAAACAGGGAGAAAATTGGCAGATAGGTTCTCATAAAATCTCCGGTATTCAGAACAGGGTAACCTTTCCCCAGTCTCTTCACGCTTCAACGGAGGGAAACAAAGGTGAATTAGATGTATCTATTACAGAACTAATTTCGTGCCCAAACACACCAGAGAGAGTGAAAATAGAAAACAAATCTATTCAGCTTTTCGGTACCATATATCCACATGGTATGAATCAAATACTCTCTTACTAATGTTTCTCAATTTCCCTTTATTTCTTTTTTTTTCTTATTCCTTAGCTTTTAAGGCCCTAAATATTTTGTTCCGTTAAGATTCTCTACCTTATTTTTCACAGTACCAATATTTATATTCTTTCACTTCCTGTAATCCTACTTCCAGCAACAAAAGGAAATCTCTAAAGTTTTTTTTACTGTGATCTGATACTTGCTATACTTTTCTTTCTTGTTTCCTGATGAAGGCTCTTAGCCGAAACGTCAAAATCTTTTATCCTGTCTATGAATTCAAGTTTAGCATCTTATATTTCATTCTGCAACTTGAATGCAGTCCCATCAATTATTATCTTTTAATAGTTTAATTCTTTCCGCCGCGCTCTCAACGTAGAGAAGCAACCAGTGGTCTTTTGAAAGTCAAGGCTTGTCTAGACGTCCGACTCATTAAAAAAAAAAATAGTCACAGATTTTAAATCTGTCAGATGTCAGTTGTTGACCTAAAGAATGATTTTATCCTTTTTTAACTGACTGAACGAACTTTCTCCACTGCCGTTTTGAAAGCCATTTTGTAGATAATTGCGGTTCATTAAATTGAGCAAATTTTGTCTAGGAACTACTGGATCTGATTCAGTCGATGGAATTTATTTTAAGTTAAAAGGAATAAACTATGCTTACTGTATCGATTTGTTGTAACGTTATTTATTAACATCAACTAAATAGAGGTTCACAAATGATTTTTATTGGATCAGATATTGTAGTTTTGTTGTGATTACAATACAACTATTTCAAATGTCGATGAATTTTAGAATCTGACGGTAACCTCTGGCCTAAAACAGCGACCATTGTGTCAAATACGACATTTAAAGTCATAATCTTTAAGTTTTTCAATCGCCTGTCAAAACAGCAGCTGGTTCACCATCGTCATGAATTATACGTTTTTTGGATTTAATTCTCGTTTTTTTTGTTTCTTCAAAGCCTTTAGTTTCACTGAAAAAAAATCGTCTTTATTGCGTGGTCCCAAAAGAGCTGTTGTTTCAGAATAACTACGTTTAGAGGTTTCACATATTTTCTGTAGTATGATGTTCTAAAAAGAAAGCTGTTTCACAAGTTTACCAATTTATGTTTTTGCCTTGTGTCGCTCCCAGTGTTTTTACTGCAGCAATATGTCGCACCGTTATATTGTTTTTGTAAAGTAAATATGCTTTAAGATTTGGCTTATTTTTAAAACAATACGTAATAAAGTTTCATCTCAACCAGGGGTGGCCAGCCTTTGCAGCAGGCGGGCCGAATTTCAAAAATAATATTTACTGCCGGGCTACGCTCCTATTTTTGTTTTGTTTATTAAAGTAAACAAGCAAGCGTGCTACAGCTTCGATCCCGTCATCGCTTCCCATAGGCGAGAGCGTGGTCAAACGCTTGCCTGGTTTATGTGTGATCAACAAGCTAAAGATGTAATAACACGTTTTTCGTACAATTTTGTGTCATTAAAGTAGATCAGCACAAAGTAAAATATATGTCTAAATTTATTTATAATATAACTCCTTTTTTTTAGAGGTGGGGCTAGAAAATGTTGACGTAATTAAATAAGAGGGGGGGGGGGTTATTGAAAGTTTGACAGCTGTTGACAATGAGGGGGGGGGGTGTCAAAAATTGCTTAAAATCTGGGGGCGTAATTAATGGACGAACCCTACGATGTTGTTTTTTTTTTAATAAGAGGGGGGGGGGGGTTATTGAAAGTTTGACAGCTGTTGACAATGAGGGGGGGGGTGTCAAAAATTGCTTAAAATCTGTGGACGTAATTAATGGACGAACCCTACGATGTTGTTTTTTTTTTAAATCTTGAAATTGGTTTTCAAATTCGATGTTTAAGTCAGATATGAAAGAAACGAATTTAACCTCCGCCTCATGAGTGACGTCTGGTTGCCATGAAAATGTAGGAAAGTGAGTATTTTTTCCCTTATCTGTTGCTCCCAAAGACTAAGTGTCATTTGAAATGCAGAAATATGATACATCTTATTATTTAACTGATCTTTCCCTTGTAGATGAGTATTAACGTCATTTAGGTGACTAGTTATATCGACCAGAAATGCAAAGTCGCAAACCCACTCTTTGTCTTCAAATTCTGGGACACTTATTGACTTTCTTGCAAAGAATGATTGTATTTCTTGCTGCAAATTTTACACTCTTTTCAACATTTTGTCACGGGTCAGCCATCTTACTTCTGCATAAAATGTAACGTCATTATAATCTGAGTTCAAATACTTGAGATTCTTGGAACAGACGGTAATTCAACCCGCTCGACTTAATGAAGATCACTATTTTGACGACCACTTTCATGACATGAGAAGCATACAAATATTGACTCCCAGGGAACAATAACAGGATACTTTCTGAGGGTAATCCAAAACCCAAAGCCAATAGGCACACTTCACAATCAACCCCTTCAGTATCTTGAATATGCTGAAAAAATAGCACTGCTGAGGGAAGTGTTAAAGACAAGTCAAAGTCTTTTTTTACTTTAGAAGACGCATCACTACAAGCAGGGCTTGAAATTAACACCCCCCCCCCCCCCCCCCCAAAAAAAAAAAAAAAAAAAAAAAAAAAAAAAAAAAAAAAAAAAAAAAAAAAAAAAAAAAAAAAAAAAAAAAAAAAAAAAAAAAAAAAAAAAAAAAAAAATAAAAAAAAAAAAAAACTAAAAAAAAAAAAAAAAAAAAAAAAAAAAAAAAAAGAAAAAAAAATCACCCAAAAAAAAAAATAACTAAAAAATACATGATTAGGATAAGAGAAGAACAGACAGATGAAGCCATTAAAATTAGAAACTAGAATTTTGAAGAAGTAAATCATTTCAAATACCTAGGATCTTTATTAAATGAAAGAAACGAATTACTAACAGAAATAAAAGATAGAATATCAGCCGGAAACAGGGCATACGCCAGTAGTCATAAAATACTCAAAAGTAAAAACATTACAAGAGAAAAAAACATCTATACAATTGTAATCAGACCAGTTGTAACACATGCAATTGAAACGTGGACACTAACAAAAAATGGAAGAAAACCTATTAAACACATGGAGAGAAAAGTTCTCAGGAAAATATATGGCCCAACAAAGGGTGAATATGGATGGAGAATACAAATCAACCATGAGTTGTAAAGTCTATGTAAGGATCTTGCGATAGTAGCAGAGATTAAAAAAAGGGCAGGCTACGCTGGGCTGGACACTTAGAGAGAATGCCAAATGACAGCGGAGTAAAGAGGGTACAGCAAAAAAAAAAAACCCAGAGGAAAACGGCTCAAAGGCAGACATAGGGTTAGATTGATGCATGATGTGGAAAAATATCTACAACTTGGAATCCAAGCATGAAAAAGAAAAGCTTTAGTTAGGTCTCTATGGAGGGAAGTAGTGAAGCAGGCCAAAGTGCTGCATGGGCTGTAGCGCCACAGGCATGTATTTCATGACATGGTCCATTTTGAGGGACTTAAATATATAAATTCTCCTGATGAATAATGCAATGAAAATTTAGCATTGAATTATTACCGACTTTGGAAGTATAATTTTCAATCAATTTTACTAATCCTTCGTGTTTGCCAACCATTGCTGGAGCACCATCCGTTGTTAAGACCGATAAGTTGTTAAGTTGTAACGGAAAGCAATAAAATCTCCATGCAACTGCTTTTAACAAATCTCGTGACTTAGTAGTTTCTTTAAGTGTCGTCTGTCTTTATAAAAATGAACATCAACGCCCCTGATAAAAATGGTTTACTTACCTATAGAATCGATATGGTAAACATGACACTTGGTTAAAGTAGTTTGAATTCTTATTATACATATGAGTAATATTTATTTTAAAGTCAACTAAAAATCTCTCCAGTCGCAGTGGCTGAGATAGAACGAAACTACAGAATAACGCTGAACTTTTTCAAGCTGGGCTGAAAGTAGTTTTGAGTATGAACCCGATAGTGTTGTGAGCTTCCCGAAGACACCGAAGACAACAGAACGTATAAATTATCTGGTTGAAGTATCCTATTAAATTTTATCAACACTTAGTGTCGGACAATAAAAAACTAAGTAACTTTGAGTGTCAAAAAGAAGGATATTCGAAATAGCTAAAATTTATGAATTTCCCCGAAAATTAATGAAATCTTTAAAAAAATTTGCGAGTTATTTCAAAGATCTTTTAGGAGTAATTTAAAACTATTTGATACAAACGACTCATGATGTAATGTTCTTTTGTTGATATGTAAAATAAAGTTAACATTTATGTCCATTGAACCTAGCTCCGCGGGACGCAACACGACACCCCTGATCTAAACCATTTCTCTTTTGGTTGATCTCAAACTTTTTCTCTATGATTTAAATCTCTTAAAGCAGGGGTCGGCAGGATTGCTAATTAATTTTTTTTTTTACATAAGTTTTAAATATTTTGTTCTTGGTTTCAATTTTGCGACAGTGGTTACTTAGGGTTTCTAAATGATGTGAAAATTTATGAATATTGCGTTTAGTAAAAGTGGGACGCTTTGGGTACCAAAGTCGGCCAACATAGCGTGACATCATTTATCATTGACTCCTTAAATCAGCGGTTCTCAACCTGTGGGTCGCGACCCCTTTGGGGGTCGCGGGACCCTTTTCCAAGGGTCGCCTAAGACCATCTGAAAACATATATCCTTACAGCTATGAAGTAGCAACGAAAATAATTGTGTGGCTTGGGGGTCGCCACGACACGAGAAACAGTATTAAGGGGTCGCGGCACTAGAAAGGTTGAGAGCCACTGCCTTAAATGTCCGACTAAATATTAAAAATATAACACTGTCTGTCTCTTAAGACATAAAATTCAACTCATTACTTTGTTTATATCTTTCGGTTAGAAACTATAATGTTAAAGTAACTTACACAAATACATAATTTAAAAAAAAAAACCCTTTCATTGGAGAGTTTATTTCCCACTGTGGAAACATTCGCACTGGTGCCATTTGCTGACGTAATCTCCGGGGCAGCCGACTTCTTCCCACGTGACTTCGGGGTTGTCCCAGCCCAGTCTGTTTGTAATCTGAGAATTGCGGTTCTGGAGGTCAAAGTGGACCTCGTACCCATGGACGTTGTGTGTGTCTGTTGATAGGTCAAGGGAAAGTAACTTTAAGAAAAGGGAAGCGTTCATTTAGTTGAAAGGGGAAAGAACCACTGTGAAAAAAGGGGAAGTTATCAACAGGAAGAAAATGGGAAGGAATGACTGATAAGAAAAGTGGAATATATTATTAGGTATAAAATGGGAAGGAATCACTGAGAAAAAAAAGGGGGAGTTAACGGTAAATGCACGCTAGATTGTTCCAGGAACTTTTCTGTTATGTAATCAGACTAGGAGGCAATGGCCATACCAATATCGGTGGCGTTCTTTGTAAGAGTCTTGATTTCTTTCGCCCTTTATATTTAGACCTTAAAACTTTGTAAGACTTTGTATGTACTGTTGGCATCCGTCCGTCACAATGTGACGATGAAGTGGGCTTCGGAGGACGAAATCCATTGGCCTGGGATTATACTTCAAGGATTATAAGCTGGTTCCCAACAGCAAATCGCCTCTCTCCACGCCGCTGGGTAACCCAAGGGAACATCATTGGATGATACAGCTTGGCACCAGTGACGTCGCAGGAGTTGCCGGAATGTTTCATTGTATCAATGTTATCCGCCTTTCGGGACTCCATCTCCGGGTTTGATTTCAGTGTTTCCTTCTCTTAGATGAGTTGCCATCCAAGGTTAACGAGTCTCATCTACCCGGGATGTATGTACTATAAGCCCCATAACAAATGCCCTGGTAGGGTTGTGATTGACGCCTGGCAAGGGCTTGGCCTATACTTATATGACAAACGATATGTGTGGTCGTACAAATTTCCTCAATTGAAGAATTGAAAAAAAAAAGTTTTTACGAGTGTTGGGCTGCGATAAAACTTTCATGAAGATTAATGAGCCCATCCAATTTGTGTTATTAAAAATATTGATTATGTATTATGTAAATTTAGTTAAATACATGTTTTATTTTTCTCTTGTACTTATGAAGGCATTTACTGAAACGTTTACATTTGTATTCTATGTAATTACAATTAAAACTTAACCTATATTGTTTTATTTGTACCAATTATTTGTGTCTCATTAATCTTCTTTAAAGGTTCGGTGTCTGAATATTATTTTTTTTAAAAACTCCAAAGCAAATATCTCTAGTTTTTATACATTAAACAGAATTAGCGCTAGTCTGATCGTCTCAAATCGTAATTAAACATTCGTGGTTATATTCGGACCGTAGGAAAAAAACAACACCTAATATTAAACTAGATGTGCCACGCGTGAATGTTAAAGACACTTACTGGTTCCTGGTTTCCCGGATTGACCACACCATTCGCGGTTGTCGTTGATTGGACAATCGTTGGTCACCATGAAGATGTGGGCATTGGTGTCACGGGGCGCCTGGCCTAGTCCGGGAACAAAGCCACCTGGGAAAAGAGGGTGGGTGGGGGAGACATCAATCACAAATAAATGCGTAAAAAGACAAACGAAATATTTTTACTTTATTTTATGACGACAGCTTCATAACAAGTTCATAGCAAGTTAATGACAAGTTCAAGTGACGATAATGGTTTCTTGTTAATGATTATATGACTTTGTATGTATTCGTTCTTTAAGTATCAATAGCATGTCATATTCTACACATATATAATTATCGGGAAATATAGTCACGTAATTATTAATTTGATCCCTGTCTCATTACTTAAGTCAACGAATGCGAAAATAAAAATTAAATTTCCTTTAAATTAATGTATGCATTTGCCATTGACTTTAACAAAATAAATTTTGCTGATTTGAATTTCGCTTTTCTCCGAAATATAATCTAAATAACGCCAAAAAATATCTTGACAACAAAACAAACAAACAAAACTTTATAAATTGTTTTGAATGGTTTCCTTGGACGTTGAGACTAAGAGGTCGTCCATTAATTACGTCAACAAAGTTAAAGAAATTTTTTGACCCCCCCCCCCCCCTTGTGAACAAATGTCAACAAACTTTCAATGACCATCCCTATTTAATTAAGTCAACATTTTCTAGCCCCCACCCCCCCAAAAAAAAAAAATAAATAAATAAATAAAATAAAATGAATTATATTATGAATAAATTTATAAATACAATTTACTTTGTACTGATCTATTTTAATGATAATAAAATTTTAGGAAAAACATTTTTTTACATCTTTAGCTTGTTAATCAACAATTTAACATTTTTTGTTTTTAAATTTTATAATGCAGAATCAATTGAAAGGTTTCCAAAGACTAAATTTCATTGTTTGTGGTACAAATATAATTACTGTCAGTAAAGCTGACAATTATAGTATAGTTTCTAGCTGCTATCATCTTCCGAAGGAGTAGCCATGTTTGCTCTATCGTAAAAATGGGCATCAGAGACATCATTTGGGTAGGGCAGGGGAGGCATTTGCCCCCACTCCCTAATTTGCAGGTTTTATTTAAATTTCTATGTACTGTGGCGCATTCATTAATAAACAAGTAGAACAAGTTTTGGTTTTGTCCCCTTGAAAAAACATGAAATGACGCCCCCGACCGGCATAGTCTATAGTAGCTGATTGATCATTTTCATCTTGCGGATCTGCTATACCAGACAAGTCAACATCATCCTCTTGTAACCATTCAGCACTTAAAATAGAAGCATTGTCAGTGTGATCAATAATTGCCATAAGATCTCTCTATCTACTTGTAGCTACTTGCATTGGTCAAATCATTTTTTTTTGAGGAGCATGTGATAATTTCTTATGCTCAAGAGGGCATTGTCCGCTCTGTTGAACATGCTTTTTCAACATGACTTGTGATCCAAATAGATGTTACATATTTTGCAAATCTGTTCAAGCAGCGATGTTATTATTGTTGCTTACTTTACATTCAGCTAATTCTCAAAATATCGTATTCCTACTCTATCAATATCAGTTATCTTGACTGCACATGACACTTGAACCTTGTTCCATACCTGCAACAGAATCTACAGGTAAAGAGAGGCCAACTTTTGAATTCTCTTGCACTAACACAGTGTGCTAACATTCTGACCAGCCATCAGCAGTGCACAGACACACATTAAATAAATCTTATATTGCTTTAAGGCTAAAAATTATATGACTATTTACATTCATTTACACTTAAAATTTTTAAAAAATAATGTAATGAGCAGTCAATTTTTAAGATTAAAAATTTAATAGAGGAAATATGATTGTTGACGTCAACTAATCTAAACCCCCTCTCTCCCCCTTGTCAACAACTGTCAAACATTTCCACCCCCGCCCCATTTTGTTGACGTAATTAATGGACGCCCCCGAAGTGCTATCAGGCTGAGCAGGTATTTTCTTAAAATATTTATTCGGCCCTGAACAAGCGGTTTATTTGCACACATCGAAAACTTCCTTAAAAGTTGGATCAAATAATTCACTGGGTGTGGGCGTGTCTGACCAATCATCTTACTGGTCGCGGAGTTTCTGTTCTATATACCTACTTGGTGAGGTGAGTCTGACCTAACAACCTACCGTTTGGAGTCAGTTTCACATACCGGTTGGGGAGCGTCTGATATAACGATCAACCTGTTGAGGTGAGTCTGACATATTAACCTACCGGTTGGAGTGAGTTTGACACACTTTCCACAGTTGCCGCCACACCACTGCTTGTCTCCGCCGTTATCAAAGTATTTCTGGCTGGGGGCGGTCACTAAATCATTTAGGTTCCAGGCGAAAGGTTGGTCTGTGAACGAGAAGCATGACTAAAACATAATTTGTCGGTATAGAGTGGTCGCAGAAATATATCGGCTTGGGGGGGGGGGGTGAAGGACTCTTAGAAATTAAAACTATCGATAACTTACAACTATTAGTTTGGGGAGAAGAGACCTAGAGCCTCACTATAACAAAGCAATGACATATTTAGTCATGTTTAAACTCATTATCCGAGAAAAGATCTCTAGTTTCGACACTGTCGACAGGAAGTGACGAAGAATTTTGACAATCACTGAAAAGTCTGTTTAAAGAAGTTATTATTATTTTTTTTAAATATTAAAGGCTCTAGCACGGAATCTTTTGAATTAAACAGATTAAAATATTATATCAAATAAGTTTAAACCATGTCCTGGACCATTCACCAGCTTTTGACAATAATAATATGAAAGTTAATGGATTATAGATTAACCAATCTTTTTTGGATATGAAGAAATAAAAAATGGTCGTAATAGTATCCCCCCCCCCCATTCGTGTAATCTTATAACATTTTTGTCATATTATCACATCGACATCAAATAACAATATCTCCCAGTTCTTAAAAAAAATTTGTAAAAATAAAAATGGTACTAAAAATTCTGACAATATTAAAAATTTAAAAAAATATTGTAAAGGGTATAATACTCAAAATCTGTATTCAGTATGAATATAGGTGAGAGGTCTTAAGTACATGGGCTAAGCGTCTCAAACTAAGTGAGAGTTCCTTAAGACACGATTCTTCTTCTATATATTAACGGCCCACGATCAATTTATTAAATACTTGAGTTGGGAGGCCCTAAGCACCTGCATCGAGAGGTCCGACTCACCTGAGTTTGGGGGTCCACAGCCACAGGCTCCTCTGTGTCCATCGTCATAGCGTGTGGTACTGGCGCAGGGTTTTCCGTTAAATCTCAGGATGCCGTGGCTGTCCTTGATACACTTTGGCGCACCGTGCACCACACCTGGTAGCATGGCAATGTTAAATGATGAAATAGTTGTACAACATACACCAGCAACACACAACACGACTGAGCAACAAACACAACACACAACACGACACGACTGAGCTACATATACCAGCAACACAAAATACCATTGTACAACAAACAACCACCAAAATAAAAAGGGCTGTGGCAGCAACATACAACTTTGACCTAGGCAATTCAACATACAACATCTTTGTACAGCCAAATCACCGCACAAATCATACGCCGACATCAACATACAGCATCAACATGCAACATCAACATACAGTAATTAACATACAACATATATGTACAACATACCAACAGCCAAAGCCAGAACTATGACGTAGCCGTTCATTCCTTTTTTTCCTTCAATTGATCCACTGGTTAGTTAAAAGTTTTATAGCGTCTTGTCCCTGAACTCATTGGCAGCACCCTTGCTTTTATAGCCCTGTCCACCTTATCAGCGTGGCCTTGGAGGTCAGCCTTCAGTTTGTGTTGACCGGATGTCGTGTTCTCAGATAGAAGTGCTACATGGTTTTAAAACAGTTTTTTCCCTTTTAATAATTGGAATGTTTTTAAAAAAAATATTTAAAAAAAAAGCTGTAATAATTAATTAGTCAATTAAATAAAATGTATTTCTTTAAATTGTAGTAAGACAGTGCAGTTATACTCAAACTTTCCACCAATTCAACGATAAAGGAATTATTTTAATGAAATCAAGCTCATGTCATACCCGATGACTGATCTTGGAATTTGTATAGCTTGCTCATGTCATTTGTACCGAAAAGTAATGATTCAAATGTTTTTGGGCATAATGAATCATTAAGTTACTATGAAACGTGTCCCAAACTACAGCGAATTTTTGTAACTATAGCGAATTTCTCTAGCTATAGCAAATTTGTGTAACTATAGCATTTTTGTTAATACAGTGAATTTCTGTAAGGGTATCGAATATCTGTAACTATCGTTACTTTTTGTAATTAAAGCGAATTTCTGTAACAATGACGAATGCCTTTAACTATAGCCAGTGTACGTCCTAGACACTGGGGATTTCATCGGTACTTTAAAATGACAGGTGACACTAGTGATAGCAGGTATTTAGAGACGTCGTCTCGGAGATGACATTTGTTACGGAGCGATGTCATCTGATTATGCGTCATGTCATCATTCTGAGATGATGTCCCTTGTGTTTTCTTATGTGTCTATGCTGGCTTGGGTGTGCTGTCATAAGAAATGTCAATGGATGGTACATAAGCGTGACGTCAATTGCCTGGCAGTGGTAGCATTTCGTCGAAGTGATGACATTTTCTTCAGGCAGGCGAAACAAAAAAGCTGCTATTAAAATTCTTCAAATTCTATATCATGGGAAGAAGAATTAAATTCTAACTTTGGGAAAACCGTTTCGTTAAAATTTTGATGACAGGTGCACTTGAAGACTTAATGAACGTACCGAAATTGACATGTAGGGTCAACAACTAAAAATACTTACCAAAACGCATTTGCTTATCTCAAGTCTAGAGTTTGCTAATTCGTCTCATTTCCTACAGGTTTATAAATACATGTGTGTGGTTTAGAATTGTTTTTAGTTTGTATTATTTCGTCATTATTAAAATCAATTTCAAAAAAAAAAGACAGCCAATGATTACACTTACAAAAAGGTAAGGAGTCGTCTGTATCAATCTGTAACGATATGTTAAGATTGTGTGGGCGTCAAGATTATGTGGGCGTGACATTATCTGGTCAATAACAATATGTGGCCACTAAGAATATGTGGTTCTGAACAATGCGTGGGACACAACACTATGTGGAACATGAGACATAAAATCATCAACCAATTATCTAATTAAACTTCAAATACTTATTAAAATTATTATACTTGTTCCCTGGACCTTCTTTGTTGTTAGAAGCGGATCAAGCAACATACGGGCATCAAACAACGTACTGGCATCAATATATATATATAAATAAATAAATAAATATATATATATATATATATTAAATAAGAATGAGCTATGCTGAGATAACTACGTTCATATTCTTAAAAAACAATCATATTTATTTTCTTTTATTTTACGGAAATCAAATATTTTTAAATGCGCAAAAAAATAACATAAATTCTCTTTTATTTAAGTAAAAGTTTAAGTATTATTATTATAAATTTAAAGTGACAACTAAGGAACTATTTTAAGCATTTTATCTGAATTTAAATGTTATGAACGCAAAATTTAATCGAAAAATTATGATCTAAGAATTACATCATAATCAAATTTATCGGGAAAACCCAAACATCATTTTTTTAAAGTGCGTTTTTTAGTGCGTTGTTAATTTTGCGAAATAAAAATAAAATTAATTTGTTCTAAACAAACACGCAAATGACGTCATAGCACGAATCGTCTATGTTAGCTCAAACTCTCAAATTTTTTTTGATTTAATAACCACGCGTTACAAAAACTGATAACGCCTTTTCCCCTTCTTAAAAGTAAAATTAAAAAAAAGAATTGATTGCTTTTTAAATTTTTTATACAATTTTATTAAACACACATTTTAGCTTTGTATTTTTAACATTTAAAGAGTTTACCTTTTTTTAAATTCCAAAAATATACTTTTATTAAATTTATAACTTGATAAAAATGTAAACATTAAATATACTTCTAAAAAGAAAATGAATGCCGTTTAATTCAATCAGTGCAGTGAAACTCCGTAGTCATAGCATTCCCTAATCTATTATAACTGATCCAAATGAGAACAAACAATATGAAGTGCAAATTGTTAGTTTTGGTATTGAAGGAACTACAATCCTGAGGAAGATTTTATTAATTTTATTTAAATCTGGAAGAGGTTGGGGGGGGGGGGGGATTTCCCCCCCCCCCCCCCCAGCAGAAAATATGTCTCAAAATAATGAATGAATTTGATAAATAATTAACCTTCTTGGGTACATACATATCGGCAGTAGGAAATAGGATGTGTATATTTTTACGTGGATGACAATTTATTAAAATCCTATGATATTACATTTATGAAAAAAATAATGTTACATTCTCTTTTTACTTAATACACATATTTTTACCAATTTAGAAAATCAATGGCGTTAACAAAACGTTTGTACATTTTATAAAGAATACTCATAAGTATCAACACCCAATCATTTCACACACTTGAAAAATTAATTTTGAAAAATTGAGATGGCTTGATATTTAAAAAAAAAAAAAAAAATAAAAATATATTTTTGTTTTTACTTTAACAAAACGTTTGTACATTTTATAAAGAATACTCATAAGTATCAACACCAAATTATTTCACACACTTGAAAAATTAATTTTGAAAAATTGAGATGGCTTGATATTTAAAAAAAAAAAAAAAAATGAAAATATATTTTTGTTTTTACTTTGCGAAAAGTAAAGTGGGTGTGTATTTAGTGAGTGTGTATTTTTATACCATTAATAATTTTTTTAAAAAGACACTCAAGTCTGTTATAGACTTGAAAAACGGTTGCAATATTCTTCTTTAGATAAAAGAATTCTTTGTTTTACGATTTTCTGATAATGCATGTTTTAAAAATAACAATGCAAAAGTGTGTCTAAATTTTTGATGAAGATAGAAACATATCAAATTCCAATTATATATTTTATATCATACATAGTTGTTGTTGTTTTTTGTAAATTTAAGATTATGTCTTTTAACAATTTTTAGAGAAAAAAGTTTGAATTCAATGGCACGAAAAGGCGAAAATCTTAAGTGTTTCTTTGGCGTAGAAATCGTCCCTCAATTAACTTCTTTAGTGACAAAAGTGAAATAATTAGTGATAATTTGCAATGTGTAATTTAAGGTCATGTTTAGAGGTAACAATTTAGTTTAGAGGCTTGAAAGGGAGTAGGGTGGGCATATTATATGTAGCAGATACATACTTCTCAAAACTTAATGATTTAGAAACGTAAATATCATTACACAGATACTTCTTTTTAAAGTTAAGAATTGTGATGACGTTTTGCAATAGCAGGTAGAAACTATTGCAAAGGACCTAGCATTATTATCCCAATAACATCGGGTCATTTATTCTAGTATATATATAATGTAGTTAAATAGAGACGATTTCATTTTCTGAAAAGAAAATAAAACACACCAAATGCAGTTGCGTTATTCAGAAAAAAATAATATATGATTTTGCATATCTATCGGGAATTATATCTTGCGCGCTAGTGAACTCATTATTGAACCATTCTTTCATTCAAACATTTGGAATTATTTGTTATCTACTCTCAATACCAAATGTGCCGATTGCGAATCAGTCAGAAATGGAAGCAGTCTACGATCACACCACAAGCGTAATATATACAGGCAGTGCTCGACGTAGGTCCTATGCAACCTACGACCATTCGACTTTACGACCACAATCACTGGCCATATAAATTTTCAGATTTATTCCTGCCCCGACTGCTGCCTCAGCTGACCACTTTAATGATCTGCAGCCATTCACCAGTAGCCAATAAAATGTTCCGTACATGTCTACATATTTTGATGTTAATGACAATTGGATGTGTTTTGCGATTGGGCAAATGGTTCCTACAGTATTTTCCACACCTGTATTTTGTATGTTTTGCAAATGTTAAACCAGTTTTACATGCACGGTCCATGCCGTGTTTTTCTTAAGCCTGGCGATGGAAACACAGGGAACAAAATGGCGCAGAGATTATACAAATGGCATAACATAAAGATCGAAAATTATGATTTATAACAATAATAAAAGAAATTTATGATATAATTTAACTTAAATATTTTTTATAACATCACTTCACATTACTGTACACATGGCGTACTCAACTTGCGACCAAATCGTGTTACGACCGGTCTGTCGGAACCGATCGTGATGGTAATCCTAAGTCGAGCACTAGCCGTATATATATTGAATTTAAGGGCCATCCATAAGTGTCGTCATGCTATTATGACGTATTTTTGAGCGCCCCCACTCCCCCACCCAAATCGTCCCCAATTTGTTACATCATTTAGTCACTCTCATAAAAGTTCGTCATAAGTATCATGACGCCCCATCGGCACAAGTAACTTTCTTTGTTACAAGAAGGGAACTGTTCATCACACTTTTTATAAATTCTTATTCTTATTATAATTGCTAGTGTGTTTATAAACAATCGATCATGACCATTCTAAATATGGGTATGTTGTTGGGGCTGAACCTGTCTGTGGATGCGCAGATAGATGGCTCATCAGGCCGATTCAAGCACGGAGTGTTTTTGTGCAGCACTAAATTCTGTGATTATTGTAATTATCAAACTTATATCTTTCGTGGGAAACTGTGTAATACAGTCTTAGAGTCAGTCCACAGTCACAGAGTCAGTGATACAGTCAGTCATACAGTCATAGAATCAGTCATACAGTCATAAAGTCATAGAGTCATACAGTCATAGAGCTTTACAGTCATAGAATCGAGCAGTCATAGACTCAATCATACAGTCATAGAGTCATACAGTCATAAAGACAGTCATATAGTCATCGAGTCATTCTTAAAGTCATAGATTCAGTCATACAGTCATACTTATCCAAACTGTAGTGGAATATAGATATGATTGTGTACGCTGTGCACCATGTTTGATTAGGGACAGAGATCAACGTGGGTCTTTGAATTCAATGGACAGAGATGGATAGATATGGATAGAGATGGACAGAGATTGATAGAGATGAACAGAGATGAACAGACATGGACATAGATGGACATATATTGACATAGATAAACAGAGATGGTCAGAGATGAACATAGATGGACAGAGATAAAAAGAGTTGGACAGAGGTGGACAGAGATGGACAGAGATGGACACAGATGGATAGAGATGGACATTGATGGACATAGATGGACAGAGATAATAAGAGATGGACAAAGGTGGACAGAGGTGGATATAGATGGACATAGATGGACATAGATGGACAGAGATAAAAAGAGATGGACAGAGGTGGACAGAGGTGGACAGAAATGGAAATAGATAGACAGAGGGGTCAGAGATGGACAGAGGTGATCACTGATTGACACAGATGGACAGAGATGGAGAAAGATTGACAGAGATGGAGAAAATTGGACAGAAATGGAAATATATGGACAGAGATAAATAGAGATGGACAAAGATTGGCAGAGATGGGAAGAGATGGAAAGAGATTGAAAGAGATGGAGATATAAGGACAAATAGTGACATAGATGGACAGAGATGGATATATACGGACATATAGTTACATAGATGGACAGAGATGGACATTTGGGAACGGTAGTTTACGTTCTGTTGTAACAGACAAGACGTGTCGGAGGGGGTTGACAAAGAAAGCTCAGTTCTCCTTTCCTTGTTTCTAATTACGTCTCTATTTTCAAACAACGTCCATATAAAAAGTGAATTGACCTTGAAGTAGTAAATAGGCCAAGAACGAGCCTGGCACCGTTATCTAGATATACGTTCTTTGTTTCTCTTTGCCAGATAGCAAAGTAGCCGTTTTTTCCCTGGCTACCGACTAGTTATTTTTTTAGGAGACATAACACCGCTAATAACTAACCACTTTTTCTTGGCTACAGACAGGTTAAGGAGACAAAAAATAACCTTTAATACGGACCGGTTCAAATGCTACATCGCATCAACCATATAACATCGTATGACATCATATGACAACACATGACATCATATAACATCATTTAAAATCATGCAGCAACAAGGTGTCCATGGCGCCAAAGAGAGGTGAGTTCATAATTCTACACACTGCACTCAGTCTGCCATCATTGGTCATGTGTTGTATACTTTGTAGCGCCATTAGGCAAACACACACCAGGGTAATATAAAGGGGTCAAAAAGACAGATCAAACGTGAACAAAAGAGGAACATATGCATATTTGACTACACTACTGGTGATACAAAGGAGTTGCACCCGATCAATTTGTCTAATGCCGCACTCGCTCAATTTGTCTTATGCCGCACTCGCTCAATTTGTCTAATGCCGCACTCGCTCAATTTGTCTAATGCCGCACTCGCTCAATTTGTCTAATGCCGCACTCGCTCAATTTGTCTTATGCCGCACTCGCTCAATTTGTCTAATGCCGCACTCGCTCAATTTGTCTTATGCCGCACTCGCTCAATTTGTCTTATGCCGCACTCGCTCAATTTGTCTTATGCCGCACTCGCTCAATTTGTCTTATGCCGCACTCGCTCAATTTGTCTTATGCCGCACTCGCTCAATTTGTCTAATGCCGCACTCGCTCAATTTGTCTTATGCCGCACTCGCTCAATTTGTCTAATGCCGCACTCGCTCAATTTGTCTAATGCCGCACTCGCTCAATTTGTCTTATGCCGCACTCGCTCAATTTGTCTTATGCCGCACTCGCTCAATTTGTCTTATGCCGCACTCGCTCAATTTGTCTTATGCCGCACTCGCTCAATTTGTCTTATGCCGTCGAGTCGTGTATAAGGCAGGCCCTCACAACATACTTCCCGCAGGCCGCACGTGGCCCGCCAGCACCCACTTTGCGGCTCGGGAAGTTACGAAATATTCTTTATTCTTCTTATTTTCTCACCAACTTTCCCCAAATGTACTATTTTCTCTTGGCCCGCACACGTTTTTCATAAAGTATCACGGTCCGCCTTACATTTTGAGTTGTGCAGGACCGTTATACAGGGTGTTACAAAGAGGATTGTTTTGAAGACAAAAAAAAATGCAGGGAGAAATAAAAGAAAGAATGAGCAAATTAACATGCACCAGAAACTAAATCCTGTCCACACCTCCCAGGAGAAGGCACGGTTGTAGTCTGCCTGACACATACAAATAAGGTAACCTCCATTCAAGCCCGCTGCCAGAATGTCCTTCAGTTAAGTCGCAGATCTACGTAACTTTGACTGTAAGATCACTTAGCCATTTAGGACTATGCGTGTTTAAACAAAGACGTACAATCATATCTTTGAAGTGGACTGGAAATGCACCCCCACATCCCCCCCGACACATTTTCCCCACCTCCCTTCTACCCCCACCCCGGTCATCATAAGGGAGGATGAATACACATACACGTACAGTTTCAGTTTAATTTCATGAAAAATCTTTTTGTTTTCTTTATATTTTATTGTTTGTTTAGGAGGGCCAGAAGCCAAAAAATTACAACAACCAGCAACCGATGGTTGCGTTGTGTTACGCCACACAACCATGAAGTTTTAATGAGACGGTTTTCCCCGCTGAGATCTTTCGACATATCTCTAAATCAAGCCAATGCTATGAGAAGGCTATGTTCCACCCGAACACCCCCCCCCTTACCCCCAACCAATCCCCAGGTCCCCTGTGACCTTGGATGTCTTTCAGTAACCAAACTAATAAACACCGGAGGACTTGGTGTTTATTATTTAGTCATGACACGCGCAAAAAAAAATAAAAAAATATCGATTTATAAAAAATGATCAAAGAAACATTCTTGTTACAGTAACGGATCTAAAGTAGTTGTATCACCCTGCTTGTAGTTGTATCGCCCTGATTGTAGTTGTATCGCCCTGATTGTAGTTGTATCGCCCTGATTGTAGTTGTATCGCACTGATTTTGGTGAAAATCAGTATCGAATATTGCTTCACAAATTTTGAATTAAATTAGGGCCGTTATATTTTTTAAAATATATATATATATATATTTTAGAATCAGACTTGTTTTACGTTGGATTCAACTGAGAAGAAGAGGAGTTTAATATTACATAATGGCCGGAGTCGGATGAACAAGTATCGGAGTCATAGCGCTAAAATTGTTTGCACATTCTCTGTTACAGTGATGCTGATTTTAAAAAATAGTGACAAATCACGCGACGAAAACTATCACACCCCCCAAAAAAAAACTTTAACAAAACAGACAGGTTCAAAAAACAATTTTATTGATTAAATGTAGCATAAAATCAGTTTTCTTTTGATTTCTATAGTCAGTGTACTCAAGGGGTTAACTGAAATTTTATTTAATATCCTGAAAAAAATGAATGTGAAGGACAGTAAGATGAATGAAATTCCCTTAAAACTTTTCTCACATTGGAATTCCCGCAGTCTTATTTCCCGGCACTGCCGAAACACTCGCACTGGTGCCAGTGGGCCACACGGCCCGCAGGGCACGCGACGGACTCCCACGTGACCTCGGGATTGTCCCAGCCGAGAGCTGCGATCTGACTTTTGTGGTTCTGTAAGTCGAAGTGGATCACATAGACATGTGAGTTAGCGTGGTCTGAGGAGTGAGATATACAAGGGTTACAAAGGGTTCTGTCAGTCAAAGTGGATCTCATAGCCATGTGAGTTAGCGTGGTCTGAGGAGTGAGATATACAAGGGTTACAAAGGGTTCTGTCAGTCAAAGTGGATCTCATAGCCATGTGAGTTAGCGTGGTCTGAGGAGTGAGATATACAAGGGTTACAAAGGGTTCTGTCAGTCAAAGTGGATCACATAGACATGTGAGTTAGCGTGGTCTGAGGAGTGAGATATACAAGGGTTACAAAGGGTTCAGTGAGTCGAAGTGGATCTCATAGACATGTGAGTTAGCGTGGTCTGTGGAGTGAGACATACAAGGGTTAGAAAGGGTTCAGTAAGTCGAAGTGGATCTCATAGCCATGTGAGTTACCGTGGTCTGAGGAGTGAGACATACACGGGTTACAAAGCTAGTCAACTAAGTCTGAGGAAAAAGAAAAAAAAAAAAATTAAATCTTCACGTGACAGTGCACAATGTTGCCAAAGAAAAATTTGCCTTTTTGATGTCGTGTAAAAAAAAAAACCAAAAAAAACAAAAACACGTTCATTTTTAATATGAAACTTGCTATTTACCAGAACCATAAATATACACAGAACAATTAAACGCTGAGCTGGTACATGAGCCCTCCTGCCAACGTTGAATTTCTTATGATGAATTCTTTTAAGACACTCATTAGGACAGATCCTGCACATTTTTTCCTCGAACTAATCCCATGAGGCCGTTCTCGTCCCTAAACTGTGTGCCGTGACACATTAGTGTGTCGCCTGCAGAGGGCAGGCGTGTCGCGAGGAATTCGATCAGTGAGGCATGCACGTGATTTACCACTCTGACCAGGTTTCCTAAACATTCCCGACTTTCCGATATAGAAAAAAAACCAAATCATGACATTTCAAATGCATGTTAATTCTCATACAAGGCGTGACATGTTAATTCTCATCCAAGGCGTGACATGTTAATTCTCATACAAGGCGTGACATGTTAATTCTCATACAAGGCGTGACATGTTAATTCTCATCCAAGGCGTGACATGTTAATTCTCATCCAAGGCGTGACATTTTAATTCTCATACAAGGCGTGACATGTTAATTCTCATACAAGGCGTGACATGTTAATTCTCATACAAGGCGTGACATGTTAATTCTCATACAAGGCGTGACATGTTAATTCTCATACAAGGCGTGACATGTTAATTCTCATACAAGGCGTGACATGTTAATTCTCATACAAGGCGTGACTGTAAAATAATTTGGGCCACCCTTATTTCGTATTACCCTCCATATGTCACGATATGTCTTTAAAAAAAGTACGTAGAACACGCAGTTCATAACAAAACTATATGACTGGGCCATGAAGTGATCTGTCTTAAGCGTGGTGCACCAACATGATGTGTCTTAAGAGTGGTGCACCGACATGATGTGTCTTAAGAGTGGTGCACCAACATGATGTGTCTTAAGAGTGGTGCACCAACATGATGTGTCTTAAGAGTGGTGCACCAACATGATGTGTCTTAAGAGTGGTGCACCAAAAATGATGTGTCTTAAGAGTGGTGCACCAACATGATGTGTCTTAAGAGTGGTGCACCAACATGATGTGACTTAAGAGTGGTGCACCAACATGATGTGTCTTAAGAGTGGTGCACCAACATGATGTGTCTTAAGAGTGGTGCACCAACATGATGTGTCTTAAGAGTGGTGCAACAAATAACATGATGTGACTTAAGAGTGGTGCACCAACATGATGTGTCTTAAGAGTGGTGCACCAAAAATGATGTGTCTTAAGAGTGGTGCACAAACATGATGTGTCTTAAGAGTGGTGCACCAAAATGATGTGTCTTAAGAGTGGTGCACCAAAATGATGTGTCTTAAGAGTGGTGCACCAACATGATGTGTCTTAAGAGTGGTGCACCAAAATGATGTGTCTTAAGAGTGGTGCACCAACATGATGTGTCTTAAGAGTGGTGCACCAACATGATGTGTCTTAAGAGTGGTGCACCAACATGATGTGTCTTAAGAGTGATGCACCAAAAATGATGTGTCTTTAGAGGGTTGCACCAAAATGATGTGTCTTAAGAGTGGTGCACCAACATGATGAGTCTGGAAAGCCATGCACCAGAGACGGAAGAAAGAGCTAACGCGAGCAGTCCAGAATTTCCTGGCAAATTCACATGATTTTGGCATCTATCGAACCATTTCTGGTCTCACCGTCGACTGCGAGGTACTTACTGGTTCCTGGTTTGCCGGCCTGGCCACACCACTCCTGGTTGCCGACTATTGGACAGTCGTTAGTGACCATGAAGATGTGAGCATTGAGGCTGTGAGGCGCTTGACCCTTGCCCGGAACAAATCCACCTGGAGAGGGAACAAACCGTTCATCGTTGTTACGGACTTGAACGGACAATGTTCAAGAAAAGAAATCAAAATAAAAAGTATCTCTTTTTAAAATTGTAATAAAAATCTCATTTAAAAATGGTGACGGATGGCCATGTTATCAGCACAATGAGTCTTTTAGGTCTCCGTGGATTCGTAAAAAGATGTGATTGCGTTAAGGACCAACGACTTTACCAGTTGGGGTCAGCTTGACACAGTGGCCACAGTTATGGCCGCACCACTGCTTGTCCCCGCCGTCATCGAAAAACTTCTGGTTCGGGGCGGTCACATAGTCCTCCAGGTTCCAGGCGAATGGTGTATCTGGAGACAAAACGTAAACAATAAAATTTTCATTTTTTTTTCTCCAACATGTACGATGTGCCAACGAGAAAACGAAAGAATTTTTTTGTTTATATTCAAGACTGGGATGTTTGCCATCAAGAAACTAAAAGAAAAAAATTATTATTTTGTTAAATAGTTTCAATTCGGCTGACGGTTCTGGGCTCTTTTGTTAAAACGTGTGGCAAAAAAATAAATGCAATTTGGCCCTTAAGATCGTAAAGATGGCTCCTATTGTGTACACAATAAGTGTATGAGTGTGAGTGTATTAACATACACAGAAACCATATTTGTTTATGTCTGCGCTTGGCTGGGAGATGAGGACGGTGAAGTCAACCAACTCAAAGACGCCACATTTACAACAAAACACATAATAAAGTAAACATTTACAAAAGTGAACATGTAACTTACTAGAATTAGGTTAGCCATATTCTTTTGCCCGAACATGTAAATCATAAGAATTAGGTTGTCTGCGTCCAGTTGCTCCAAAATTTAACTTACTAGAGTTAGTGGCCCACATCCACACGGCCCAACATGTAACTTACTAGAGTTAGGTGGCCCGCATCCACACGCCCTCACATGTAACTTACTAGAGTTAGTGGCCCACATCCACACGGCCCAACATGTAACTTACTTGAGTTAGGTGGCCCACACATCCACACGGCCCAACATGTAACTTACTTGAGTTAGGTGGCCCACACATCCACACGGCCCAACATGTAACTTACTTGAGTTAGGTGGCCCGCATCCACACGCCCCTCTGTTGCCGTCGTCGTACCGTGTTGTGCTGGCACACGGCTTGCCGTTGTGCCTCAAGATGCCGTGACTGTCCTTGACACACTTCTGAGCCCCTTGAATGGCACCTTGAAACCAAATGGCTCTGTTATCCAGTTGGCTTACAATTTTCTTTCTGATTATTTCTTGAAACAGTGAAAAATCTTAAAAAATAACAATAACCACATCCTTGGTAACATTGTTGTTTGATGTCAATAACCACATCCTTGGTAACATTGTTGTTTGATGTCAATAACCACATCCTTGGTAACATTGTTGTTTGATGTCAATAACCACATCCTTGGTAACATTGTTGTTTGATGTCAATAACCACATCCTTGGTAACATTGTTGTTTGATGTCAACAACCACATCCTTGGTAACATTGTTGTTTGATGTCAATAACTTTAACGTGCGGGAAAGCTCGGTATTTGGGCTTGAACAAGCTAATTTCCCCAGAGTCAGGTTCAAATATTTAACTTTGAAAAAGTATCTCCAAAATTTCATATTGTCTCCTCTCCTTCCTTCAATAAGGTAGTTGTTAGAGACGGAGATTAGCCTCGATGTGAGTCTTGGTGAAATGTTAGGGGATACACAGTTGATTGTGTAAAAAAACACAGTCTCATGCCCTCGGGGTGTTTAAATCACAGCAACAAGCCTCCATTTCTTATGATTCTCAAGATATTAATTTTCAGTAAGCATTGGGGAAGCTGGTGCTCTATTATTCTACACTAATGCTGATTCCCCCCCCCCCCAAATACGAATTTTCAAAGTCGATGCCCAGTGCTAAACCAGCAGCCGTTCAGATATTCTCCAGCTGCAGCCGAGGATGGAGCTCCGAGGTGTTTACTGTAATATTTCATTCGCGTTTTTTATTTACAATAACGGACACCACTCGCAGCGAGATTCATTGTCTTTGGGATGGTTCAAGAGTTTCTTCCTGGTGTTTGTTGTGGTTCAAGAGTATCTTCCTGATTCGAGACCGACATAACGCTTGACTGAATTGCCCTTGATCGTGCCATAAATGGCGACCAACCCTTGTGCCTGGGCCAAGCCGAGATATTATTTAAGAGAATTTGAAACTTTTTTTTTTTTAAAGATGCTTAAATTTGACCCCGTTCATGTCATGTGACTACAACAGCCGTTGCTAGATAGCAATTGCATGACTGTCTTGAGTTTGAAACCTTTTCACCTGAGCTACATACTTGACCAGGGTTTTTAAAAATTCAATTCTAAGTATAGCATACTTTAAAAAACAATATAATAGCAGCGACTTACCAAGGAGAGAAATCGCCACCACTAGACTCAACTGCATTGCAAATTCTTAAAGCCTTTAACAGAATTTTCACCCCAAAAAATAGTTCATAAACAGATTATTTTTGCCTCAATTAATAACCAGAATCAAAGATCTCATTTTATATGTTTTCTTGACGAGGCCCTGACAGCAGTAGTTAGAAAGAAAAAAAATTGGTTCGGGGGGGGGGGGGGGGGGGGGGGTGCGGGGACGGGGTGGTAGGGGGGCGAGAGAATATGGCTGGTAGCAAGTAGAATTTTTCGGCACTAATTTGTATCGTGATCTGATCAAATCCGTCGTCCAATGACAAAACAATGTAGTTTCACATAGAGCTAAATGTAGTTCTCTTGTTGTTGCTGTTTCCATACAAAACAAAAGGTTACAGAAGATATTACTTTAAAGTTTTTGGCGTATAGTACAGGGGTGATGTATTCGGGACTGCAAGGTGATCTGCAAGACGTAATAAAAAAAGTGGGAAATACTGTTGAATATTTTATCGCGATTAACTTGGTTTCCAAATATTTCCGACAATGCCAGAATCTTAAACCCTGCGTTCTCAAAGTTCAAGGTTAAACCCTACGTTCCCAAAGTCTAAGGTTAACGCCTACGTTTCCAAAGTTCAAGGTTAACCCTAGCGTTCCCAAGTCCCATGTTGTATTGATGCAAATTTCATAAGTATACCCCATAACTTGCTGAAATAGTAGCATTCTCTCTTGACTAGTACTACATGGCGCTTACTGTTAGAGAGGAGACGATTCTTATTTTACTACAAAAGTCTTGAAAATCGTACCTTTTAGGGCAGACCTGCACAACTCAAAATGTAAGGCGGGCCGTTATACTTTATGAAAAAATTGTGCGGGCCGGAAGATAATAGGAAAGGAGGAAAGCTACTAAGAAAATAATAATAATAATAAAGAATATTTCTTTACTTCACGGGCTGCCAAGTGGGTGTTGGTGGGCTACATGCGGCATGCGGGCCGTAAGTTGTGCAAGTCTGTTTTAGGGAATGGAGACGCAAATTAACTGTAAAAGAGAATGGGCGTCCACTATTGGTATCATGGTGCCACGCACTCAACATATTAGGCGCTTGGTGGGCGAAAAAATACAATGGAGAGGCTTCGTCTAAAAAATACAATGGAGAGGCTTCGTCTAAAAAATACAATGGAGAGGCTTCGTCTAAAAAATACAATGGAGAGGCTTCGTCTAAAAATACAATGGAGAGGCTTCGTCTAAAAAATACAATGGAGAGGCTTCGTCTAAAAAATACAATGGAGAGGCTTCGTCTAAAAAATACAATGGAAAGACTTCGTCTAAAAAAAATAGAACAAACTTGGTGGAAAAATTAGCTGTGGAGTTTCATAGAAATTTTTAATTCGGATTTTAGAGCTTTGTGCTTTTGTGTCGATTGTGTCAACAAAATCCAATCCAAGTTTGCTTATCACGCAATTGGAACACGTTACGTACACAACAGCACCGTGAACCCAAACCAGCGCAGCTAACTGTAATGTAACGAGTTTAGTTAACAAGCTGTTTGGTCGGGAGCGTAATGTGACGGGGTTGGAGGGGGTGTCGGGACCGTGATGTGACCGGAGAGGAGGGTAGGGGTACCATGATGTGACCGGAGAGGAGGGTAGGGGTACAATGATGTGACCGGAGAGGAGGGTAGGGGTACAATGATGTGACCGGAGAGGAGGGTAGGCGTACCGTGATGTGACCGGAGAGGAGGGTAGGCGTACCGTGATGTGACCGGAGAGAAGGGTAGGGGACCGTGATGTGACCGGAGAGAAGGGTAGGGGACCGTGATGTGACCGGAGGGGAGGGTGGGGGACCGTGATGGGACCGGGGAGGAGGGTTGGGGACCGCGATGTGACCGGAGAGTAGGGAAGGGTCCCAAAAAAAACAGACATAAGTATGGGCACGCTGGGTTTATAGCTAGCGGTGACGTCACGATATTTTTCTTCAAATGCAGGAAAACAAAGAGTTTGCACGATATTTTTATTTTAAAAAAAAATATTTTAAAGACAACAAAAAAAGTTACATTTTACTTGAAAATGAATAGATTTTTCCGTTCTGACAATTTGTTGAAATCACCGCCTGATTCTGTTTTGAAGTCTTTTTGGCCCTTGCTTTATCCTTTAGTGCAGTGTTTCCCAAAGTGAAGTACGCGTACCCCTGGGGCGTACGGGAACCGTTTGGTGAGGGGGGGGGGAGGGGTTTACGCGCTGCACGGGCTTTGGCTGTTTTTTTTAAAAACTGCCATATGAAAGAATATCCACATTTTGTTTCAACTACGTGCACTCAGTGTTACGAAAATTATAAACAGGGGTACACAGAAGTTGAAAGTTTGGGAAACACTTAACTACAATTTGTTTGTAATAAATGACATTTAATAAAGTCAATGATACTATTCATGACGTAAGGAGCAATGGCGAATAGGGTATTTTGAAAAAAAGGCGTCTCCATTTTAGTCTTAAATTATTTTTTCATTAATTTTATAATTAGTTAATCTGAATTCCCCGAGAGTTCCCAAACTGTTTTGATAATTGTCCCGGTAAACCGTGGTTTAAACAAAAGAACATATTTAAAGCCGTCCATCAGAACAACTGGTCACCCCCCCCCCCCCCCAATATAACGTCTCCATGCCCTCGTAGATAATGTATCCATGCCCTCGTAGATAATGTCTCCATGCCCTCGTAGATAACGTCTCCATGCCCTCAAAAATAACGACTCCATGCCCTCGTAGATAACGTCTCCATGCCCTCGTAGATTACGTCTCCATTCCCTCGTAGATAATGTCTCCATGCCCTCGTAGATAATGTCTCCATGCCCTCGTAGATAACGTCTCCAAGCCCTCATAGATAACGTCTCCATGCCCTCGTAGATAATGTCTCCATGCCCTCGTAGATAACGTCTCCATTCCCTCGTAGATAATGTCTCCATGCCCTCGTAGATAATGTCTCCATGCCCTCGTAGATAACGTCTCCATGCCCTCATAGATAACGTCTCCATGCCCTCGTAGATAATGTCTCCATGCCCTCGTAGATAACGTCTCCATGCCCTCATAGATAACGTCTCCATGCCCTAACAGAGGTATGGCAGATGTTCTCTGTGAGGGCGGGCATACAGACTCCATCTTTGATATCAACAACAATATATGATTTGACCTCTGATGTGAGATCTAGTCTTTAAAGTACAAATTGATAAGAGGGTGACCTTCACATGCACAGATCCCCCCTCCCCCCCCACCTTTAAACACACACAAGCACATCCAATAACACAAAAGTACAAGCACACGCACACATGGGCACTTGCATCAACACACGCACAAATGGAGAGGAGGGTAGGGGACCGTGATGTGACCGGAGAGGAGGGTATGGGAACGTGATGTGACCGGAGAGAAGAGTAGGGGACCGTGATGTGACCGGAGAGGAGGGTAAGGGACCATGATGTGACCGGTGAGGAGGGTAGGGGACCGTGATGTGACCGGAGGGTAGGGTAAGGGACCGTGATCTGATGGAGGGCTAGGTAGGGACCGTGATGTGATAGAGAGGGGACATTTGTGTGACGGGGAAAGGCCCGGGGTGGGGGGAGTAAAAATAGAGTGAGATGGCTTTAGATATTAAATATTTTTAAACTGGCTTCCGAGATTGATTTTGATTATGAACTATTAAAAAGATAAAAAGAATACCAGTGGATTGGCATGACGCTCTGCTTTCCACTCGTGCGTATGGGGCCGAGTCTGCCGAGTTAGTTTACTATAAAAAAAAACAGTCTGACCCCAGGCTAAGATCAAAACTATGACATCACCTAGATGTTCAGTCTTCCGTTGCTTCGTCAGACCTCGTAGATAACGTCTCCACGCCCTCAAAGATGACGACTCCATTCCCTCATAGATAACGTCTCCAAGCCCTCAAAAATAACGACTCCATGCCCTCGTAGATAACGTCTCCATGCCCTCGTGGATAACGTCTCCATGCCCTCGTAGATAATGTCTCCATGCCCTCGTAGATAACGTCTCCATGCCCTCGTAGATAATGTCTCCATGCCCTCGTAGATAATGTCTCCATGCCCTCGTAGATAACGTCTCCAAGCCCTCAAAAATAACGTCTCCATGCCCTCTTAGATAACGTCTCCATCCCCTCGTAGATAACGTCTCCATCCCCTCCTAGATAACGTCTCCATCCCC